TACTCCTCTTCTCCTCCCTTTCTTGCATTCTTCCATCGGCCCGCTATTCTGCCCGATTTTAAGTCCCCTTTGTGCCTATTCTCGCGCGCTTGTTCCGGTATCCACGGCCCCTGTTTGCCCTGTCCGGTCCATGGGCCGGCTCTCTCCCGGTTGGTCTTGAAGGTTTGCCAAATCAATGCTATTCGAACGTGCGGTACGATGGAATGAAGCTTTTAAATTGACGTCACCGCCCAGCGCGAGTTAATCGGACGTCTATAATTCATGCTTCGACAGGATTCGGGGGAATGAATATCCGGCTACTTCCTCCGCTTTCTTTTGTAAGTTTGTAATAATAGCTTTCCTCGAGGATTTCTTAACCCCTTGCCCTATTATTCCAACTATGGCCGATACAACTACTTTATCATCAACAATTTATTGAAAACGAGGAATATTCTAGACATATTATTTGTTTGTGTTTGCTGAAAAGTAGAATAATTGATGAAAGAAAAATGTTTAATCAATTAGTTTGAAAATAATACAGTCTATATTCGTCAAACATAGGAGAAATGCATCTGTATATATTCTAACCAAGAACTACATCAAAATGAAGAAGAATTACATGTTTATCTGGAAAAATAAATAAATAAAATAAATTTTAGGTTTTAAAATGAAGTGTATACTCGTTGTACGCAGCTAACTGAATAATTCGAATTCAAAAAGAATGAGTAATATTTATGTTTGTTACACTCTGTTTGACATATTCATTACAAGTGTGACACGATATTCCAAGGTAAAGGGTTAAACGAAGTTGCTAGAATTCTTTTCGGAGGAAACTGAATTTTCCTTTTTTAAGAGTTCTTTAGAGTAGCTGGCAATATCGCTGATATAATTTTTCTCAGGTGAAAATAACCTCCTCCCCCGCGCGCTATAAAAGCAATAAGAATCCCAGTTGATATCGTTGCTCTAAGTCTACTCGAGGTTACCGTGGGACGACGGTGGATCTCATTTCCATCGGAAGGCGTCAAAGGGGATCAAAAAGAATTACTTTGCGGTTGATTGGATCTCAGTTCTTTCCGCGGATTTCCCTGCGAGCCTCGCCGTATAAATTTCCATGGAACGGTCGATTTCCGCGCCGGATGCCGCGGCGCGGCAAAAATCTCCGGGAAAAAAAGCCGCGTGGCTTCGGTTACGGGGATAAGAATGCTCTGGCATGATAAAAGAAAAATAATTCTCTAATCAATTTTCTAATAAATAAGTCTCCCGCTCGGCAAAGTAATTTCTTTCGAATATTTGCTAAATATTCTGAATATACTCTTATAATACCAACAAATACTGATAATATTAGGATAATTATCATACGCACAATATTAAACATTACTATTATTAAATATTAAATATCTACGATAAAAGTGAAGCCGAACATGCATGAAACGTTTTTTACATTTTTTAATGAATACTCTGAATTCACGAAATGTTGGTGTTATTTTTGCTACTCTGTATTCAACTACTGAGACACCAAAATTTTCATTACTATTTTTTTCGTAGTATTTCTTTATAAAGCATTAGCATTTTTAAGGATGTAAACAAAAATATCTATAATGCTTTCAATTTCAAGTCAACATGAAAGCTCAACGATTACACGTATAGACATTTCTTCTTTAACATGTTCATAATTATTCTCATCCTTCTTCAGTCCCATTAGCTCATATTTATTCAGATTTATTCAAAGTAGTTTGTGTACCCAAAGTGTCACCAACAAGAAATCAAAATTGCATGTAAAATATTCTTCCATACAGAATTCAAATGACAAGAAAACCATATCGAAATTCCCACCTATCCCGGTTCAATCGGGTGCCAGGAAAAAAATCTTTCTACAGAACTTTCGTTCCAGTAGAAACTTGCCAACTTCTAGCCGCCCACGGTGTTCGCAAGTAAATTCAGCCCTTCTACTTCAATCGCAGCGAGATCGATTCCTAAAACTCAAAAGCGTCAAAGAGTAGAACGAGCTGCACCATTTCACGATCGATCGGATTAGAACAGCACCTCTCTCCGCGCTTTCCTTCGTAAATTTACATCGAGCTCCGATATCGTTGCAACTTATAGATAAGCAAACCTGGACGTGATTACTGACGACGATCGAGGGAACCAGCGAAAAACAGAGAGACAGGAAAATCGAAGGAGAGAAAAAGAGATAGAGAAATCGAGAAAAATCGAAAGAGGCGAAGAGAAGAAAAGAGACAGAGAAAAATCGACAAGAAAAAGGAAAAGAAAAATACAGAAAAATGAAAAGATAGAAAAAAAAGA